TACAGGCGACCCGAGGATCGACGCCTACAGTGGCGACCCCCTCAGGAAAGATCCACGCCATGGGCGTGGTCCGAACAAAAAACACCTCGACGCGATGCGCTGGCTAAACTGAACCTGGCCCAGCCCGCAACGGACTAGCACGTCGTCTCCCGCTCGACCTCCAGGCCCTGACTCACGGCGAAGAAATGGCCCGGGCTCGGCGCGGGCGAACGGGTAGCAACTGGGGGGGCGGGATCTGATCCACGAGCGCGCGCTGCCAAAAGTGATCAGGCACGCGTCTTGGGACGCGCTCCAAAATTTGTTGGCGGGCCCAGAAAGGAGGTTTCCAGCGCGCTGGGGTCGCCGCGAGGTGAGAGCTAACGCGCTGGCCACAGTGACATGTTCGGCGGGGCCGATGTCCCGCCCGCCAGGTCAGGGCGAGAGCGCGGCGCAACGAACGCGCCCCTCATTGTCTCGGGCACCTGAATGCAATGAGAAGAATGACGACGCCGATGGGCGGGGGAGGCGTCGCCGACCTCAGGAGGCGAGCGAGACCGCGCCGCGATCCGAAAAATGGCAGGGCGGAGCGCGCCATCCACAATCAATCGGTACTTGCCTGGTTCCTCGCAAGCTCAGAAGAGGCCTCGCGTCGCTTCTCCAGTCAGGCGCCCCTCCAGCAAACCACAGGTCGACGCGCGACGCAGGAGGGCTGCGATTAGGATCCGACTGCGCTCGCGCTGGCCCGAGAAATCGGACAGTCTCCATAAGGGGGCCGAACTCTATACACCGACGTTTTTTTGTTCCCCGCCCCTGCGCTTGAATCCGCGCGGGAACGCAGGCCCCGGTGCATGCGGGGCCCTGGCGTATACATTTTCGTTGCTTCCCTGGGAAAACGGGAGACATGCATGCAACGCTCCACCCCGACGTCGCCCCCGACCCTGGAAAAAAAGAATGGGGATCGAAAAGCCGCTCGCCACTTGTGATGCTTTTCCGACTCCGTGCCGATAGATTCTGGCATGCGCAATCCAATTCGCCGCGCAGCAGCCTCGTTGCCGCGTTCCCCGCGAGGCGCTCGAAGGAGCGAGACGCGCGGCCCTCGGGCGGCAGGTCCACCGGGGGGGGGCGGCGCCCACTGATGGCGAGCCAGGTTGACGCCCGCGCGCCGCCTGGCGGCAGGGGCCGAGGAGATCCGCGGGCAGGCGGGGCCAAGGTGCACGTCGCGCAGGGCGCTGGCAATCGCGTCGCGCATCGCATCCGCGCGACTGGCACGCTGAGGCCGACGACGCGAGGCCCTCGCGGCGAGGGGCTGCGAGAACGCGCAGCTGGACGCCTTGGGCCTCGAAAAGAATCGGCGAGGCCGAGGGGGGGGAAGCATATTGTGTCGACGACCTCCCTCGGGAAAAACATGGCCAGGACCCGGCCGTCATCCGGGGGCCCGCCTAGGCAGCCCCCCTTCGTGGTTCGGCGCGCCGCGGGGCAAGATGTGATGATCGATGCCTGGGGGGGGCATCGTCACTCCTGTCCCTGGTCCGCCTTGTCCGCCTGGCTGCGGGCCCCCCTCCGCTCCTCGCGGGCTTTGCGAATCTGCTCGAGAATCGCTGCGTCCATCTCGACCGCGCCCGCCGCGTGGGCGACCGAGTCAGGGCAAATCATGGTCGCGCTCGGATTCTTCGTCACCCTGGGGAAGATCGCGTTCTCATCGCAGACGTTCTGCAGGGAGGCAGAGGTGCGCTTGCCTTTGCCCTTGGCGGCGTTTTCCTGGGTGGCGCGCGAACTCCGCGATCCGAGCCCCGCGAAGATGGAGTTCCACCGTGGCGTGGCTGCTCGCGACGAAGACGTCATCGCAGACAACCTCCTCTAGACATATGGTGGCGGCGTGTTGAACCCCCCCCATCCATTCGTCTTGACGCAGTCAGAACGCGAGGACCAAGAAGCGATGGTGCTCCAGAGGCCCACCCTGCCGTCGCTGGAGCGAGCCACTCGCAGCACCATTTGAACGTCCGCGTGCCTGGTACAGGCGAGTCAGGCAACCTGGACTGCCGCAGATGGACGGCCGACTAAAAGAAAATGCCGCGACCACGCGCCTGGGTGTCGACTGTCGTGGCCTTGTTGATCCTCAGGTCGCGGTGGCTCTCCATCATGAAGCACCTGCCCACCGGGCGAGCCTGGATGTCACCGACGAGCACAAAGACACTGATGGGAGTGGTGAAAGCAGGGCTAGGACTAAATTGTTTCTCGTATTCGATGTGTGTTCGTGCTCCTTCGAAATTTTCGTCATACCTCGGCATCGACGTGAAATCAAAACGAAAACGATCCACGACATCGCCAAAACACCTCGAGCTGTGGGTGAAAATGCCCGCCCCCGCGCTCGTGACACTGGCACTGGTCAGGGTGACGGGGGCGCCTCGGCCGCCGAAGGTCGTGGAATCGACCGTTAAACACCCGGTCACCCTCGCGGGGGCGGACCCGTCGGCGGGCACTTGAGCCGCGGTCCCCGGCACGGCGGCAGGGACAACAGCGGCGACGGGGGCACAGGCTGCGGCCAGGGGGCTGAAGGGGCAGGAAGGCACCAGTGGCGGGCGGCGCAGCAAGCAGCCCACAGGCGACAACCATCTAGGCGTACGGCTGGTCGGCCATCACGCGAGTCTCGCCGACGATTGGTCGCCAGCTCGGCCGCCGTCGGCTCACGACAGAACCGATCGGTAGTGTTGCAGTCGATGCCAAGAAAGGTAACCCTCCGATCTGGACAGAATCGCACGGCTTGGTAGTCAAAACTCGCGCCGTTCAGGTGCTTGAAGTACATGTGGGCATCTGGGGTCGCGCGGACTAGAAGCAAACCATCCATTCGATTCGCCCCCCGCGGCTGCAAGCGGCCCAAGAGTCGGCGCTGGCGCCAGCCGATGTCGCAGCTGTGCAGGATCCATGCCCAAAGCTGCACGACTGCTGGTGCGATCGCCCGTGGCCATATTGAAATATAGCCGCCGAATCACCCGACGAAACCTATGACGCAAGTGAACGAAAGGCTCAGCAAAAAGCTCAGTACACCTGCCAAGAATCCGGCGAAGAGCGGGTAAGGGATACTGTGGTTCTCAAGAGCAGGAGGTGGCGGATCTGGTACGGGCCACGTTTGATCGACCAAGACGCGGTGGACAGCAGGGCACCATCGGGCACGTGAGCTGGCACTCGGGACACACGGGTGAAGCAGGACATCGACAGAGGTACGGTACAACGCCCGCTCCCAACAGAACAATACGGCTCCACACGGGGAAAGTGTGCTTCGCCTTGAGCCAAGAGGTCACGGAGAGACAATTATTCGCGATCCCCTCAGCGACCATACCCCCAGCAAATGACAGACGAGCAAAATCGTAGCAAAAACTTAGTTCCCTCCAACCACAGAGATTGGAGGGCACCAACTTTTCAAAAGTGGACCGTAACAGGGTTGCGTGGCAGAAATTGCAATTCATGCACCTGCTGAACAGAAGGAGGTTCCGTCCCAAACTGACGCTGTCGCTGAGGGCTTCCCATGGTTCTCGTGAGAGAAGCGTTAGCGTGTGTACCAACTACACAAACAGGGGGGGGGCGTGTTATTATTCAAGTGGGGAACTCACTGGACACTTACTCTAACTTTGCGGTCATGCCTCCTGTCATTGTCAAGGCTGCGGCCCTTTTCTCAAACCTGGCTCTCGCCTGAACGGCATGCCCATGGTGCGCTCTCCATTCAAGGCGACGCTTTCCGCAGCGAAAAATGCTGGGAAGGTGTGCTGCAGCATTGTTGACGCCTCCTCCTCCTCCGCCTCCTCCCTCTCTTCTCGGAACAAAGAAGACTCAGGGATGGACAGTAGTAACAAAAACAGCCTGGGGCCACATACTCCCCCCTGGATAGAGGCTTGATGACGACGCACATACACCATACACCGATTCTGACCAGGCGCACCCTTGGCCCAGGATCAGTGTCCCCCTGGCGGCGTGGCAGGAGAGGCGTATACACCGATCCTGGGCCCAGAGCGAGCCTGATCAGGATCGGTGCATGCGTATAGGGCTTTCCGCCCAGCCCCTCTGAGCATACCCGCCCTGGCGTTGCTGTCCTGCTGTCCGTCGTGAAGACCCTCGCGAGAGCTCTTCATCCCCTCTCGGGCCTTCCAGCGATGGCTTGGGCAGGGGCAAAAGAGACCTTCTCTGGGTTGCCTTCAGCCCGGCAATCGTGCTGAAGAGGACGTGCCGGCCGTGCCCGCGGACTCAGGCTAGATTCGAAAGGGTCCAACCAGCCACCCAACCAACCAACCACTCAGCGGCTGGAGCGGCGCCGTGCGACCGCCCTGCTCGACCGCCCTGCGTGCGCCTAATACTAATGATAATAATAGTAATAATAAAAATGAGAATGATGCTAATAGCACGAATCACAGCAATAACAATAATAGTATTAATGATACCGGAGAAAAGCCCAAATCAGGGCTATGGGGCTAGGGGGCTATAGGGCTATTGAGCTATAGGGCTACAGAGCTACAGGGCTATAGAGTTGTAGGGCTATAGGGCTATTGGGCTTTTAGGGCTTAGGGCTATACAGCACCCCCGGGCACCCCTGGGCACGCCTGGGCACGCACGCCCAGGCACCCAGGCACCCGGGCACCCCCGGGCACCCCACGGGCACCCGGGCCCCGGGCAACCCCGGGCACCCGGGCACCCGGGCGTGCCGCGAAAATCGGCGACAAACCTAACCTAAACACATGTATCCGCTAGGACCCCTACAGAGGCAAGCTCTGATTGGGGAAATATTATGCTTGGTACGAATAATAATGATTACCATCATCAAAATCGGAATGTTACGAAGACAAAGACAAATAATCAAAACAACAATAAGACGAAGGAGAAAAGGCGAGGCGTACGGAGGAGGAGAGAGGGAAGTTGAAGGAAGACCAGGGATGAGATGTCCCGGGATACGCCTCGCTCCCACCCTCCAAGGGGTGGAGCCGGAGGGAACGGGGGGGGTGGAGGGACCGCGGCGAAAGGGGCAGCGCGGTGGCCTGACGGCGGCTCCAAAGTTCACGGGCCTCATCGACAGACTCTGGTTGAGCAGGCAGCGCCTTGCCGCTTCCATCCCCCCCTCCCCCCGCATGCCTGACGTCTCCTCGTCGTCGTCGTCGTCTTCCTCCTCCTCCATCTATACGCCCTACTCCTCATCCGCCTTCTCCCTCGCCCTCCTTCTCCTACTCATCAGCACCAATCGGCGGTGGACAAACCTCCCTTTAGTAAACCTCCCCTTAGAGAAAACGGCCTGGGACCAGAACCGACGGACCTGGACCCGCAAAGTGACGGCCGCGACGCCCTCTCGCGAACCGAAAACGGCCAATTCGCCAATCGACGTGTCAGGGTAGGAGGTCTGTCCACCCCCGAACCATCATCTCCAATGCGCCATAACTCTCCGAATCCCTCCGAACTGTATGACCCTCTCCTTCTCCTCTGAGATTGATCTCCTCGGGCAGGCGGCGCCTCACAGCCTCCAAGATGTCCATGGCCTCCGCCGTGTCTTTGGTGTAGGCCTGCCCAGCTGGTGACCGAGGCACTGGCGGCAGCCGAGGGGGGGAAGGGGGGGGAAGGCGGCAAACAGGAAGGAGAAGAGGGGAGGAGAGGGATGGATTGGGGAGGATGAGGAGGGGGAGGGAGGCGAAGGCGGAGGACGTAAGCCTGAGGGAGGATCAAGGAGGAGGATGGGGATCCAGGTGGTTCTGGCGTTTGGGCGCTCTAGCAGGCTTCGCCTCCGATGGCCTCCAGATACCTCTAGTGTAAGCTCCTGCTCCTCCACGCCATGCCCCATCCCATTTGGCAGATTTAGGTAGCGACCTGTGCGCTAGTCCTTACGTCTGCAAAAATCCTAATGCACATCCTCCTGGCACCCTCACTTCATCTCCAGGACCATGCTCCTCACACTTCCCTAAGAAACCCTCCTCATATCCTCATCTTATTATCCTTCTCCCATCCGTCTCCTCCTCTCCTCTTCCTGGCTTATCGTTCCTCCTGGTCTCTACTCCTCTCCGCTACTCCTCCACATCCCCTCGCCTCATGCAGACCCCATCCTGCTCTTCCCTCCCTTGTCCCACCTTCCCCTCTCCCTTCCCCTTCAAAACCCTCCCCTGCGCCTCCCTGCTCCTCCCTCTTCTCCTCCTCTCTCCCTCTCCTCCTCCTCATTCCCACCCCTCCCCACCGGTTTCTCTGCACATCCCCCTTCTCCTCCTCTTGTCCTCCCGCCCTCACCCCCGCTGCCCTCTCCTCGCACTCCCTGCATCAGTCCCTGCTTGGATACGGTCCGCGACAGCGAGCCCAAGGCGCGCGCAGACACGCGACAGAACGACTCGCAAAATCGTTCTGCCCGCAGCCGGCCCGCTCGGCGTGCCCGCTTCGCGAAGGCACAAAACTGCGCCCCAACTCTCGGACGCGGACATGTCTCTCCTGCACGCTCCTCCTCCTCCTCCTCCTCCGCGTCGTCCTCCTCCCCCTCCTCCTCCTTGTTCACCGGGCACATAATAACGAATAACGCGGATTGCGGATCCGCGGATCTGGTGCGCGGGCGCCAAATCCACGGATCCAGAGAGGTTACCCCACAGTGCCCCCCGATTTGACGACGGAGCGCACCGACATTTGAATCACACGAGACACTGGACCCGCCGCTAAGCCACACGCCTGAACACATGTTCGTGATGTTCCCGTGTTGCCCCATTTCTCCATCATGCCCTGGCTCTGCTCCCGCCCCTCTCTCGCGCGACCTCATCCTCCCTCCTGTTCTGAACACGAACTGATGGGCCTGTTTCCCACCACCACCACCGTAAGTTGGAGGGGGATGGGGTCCTCCTCCTCCTCCTCCTCCTTCTCCTCCACCTCTCCACCTCCTCCTCCTCCTCGTCCTCCTCCTCCTCGTCCTCCTCCTTCCCCCCTCCAACGTATGGTGGTGGTGGTGGAAACCAGGCCCATCATGAACAGCTCCTCCCTGTCGCCGTTAGGGCGGGCTGGGCGCTTCGCCTCGGGCTTCCTCACCGCGTACGGCAGTCAAGCATGGACTGCCCAACAGCTGCACGAGTGAAGGGCGGACAAATTTCAGGATGCGGCTCTCGCGTTGACCCAAACAGTATCTCCTTCAAGCGCAGCCATTTCACGGACAGGGGGCGAATCGTGTTGGATCTGGGGCTCTCCCCTTTGCGCTACACGCGCTCACATTTAACAGTTCAGACAATCAACAAAGGGCGGATGGAGGCCCCGTCTCAACACGGGGCTGTCGCCTTAGTGCCGCGCGCACGCGCGCACTTGTTTCAAACATCCCCTGTACTGGCACGGATGCTGGACTGCTGTTTTTCGACCTGGGCCCCTCGCCTGAAACACTCTTAGAATTCGTGACCAGAGGTCTGAAGCTGTGCAGCAGGTGCCAAGATGGAGGCCGGCTCCTCCCCAAAGAGGGCCAATCGCTTGTTTCCCACCTTGTTTCACGTTTTGTAGCTCGAAAGACAGAAAGGAGTCCCCCTGCAAAGCGGAATCACCTACAATGCGGAAGTCCAAGCCGAAGTGTGGGCCACTGGGGTCATGTCTTTCAGTAGGGCGCTCCGCGCACAACCTGCAATGACATATGGCGCCAGAACTTGGGACGGAACGTGTATTGCAGCATCGCGCTGGATCATGAATTTACTCTTGTCCTCCCGCTTCCTCCTGATATCCTCGCTGCTCGTTTTTCCTCGTAAAATTTCCTCCCGCCTCCCAAAATATGACATATGCTTGCACATCTGTCTACATATATATATATATATATAGAGAGAGAGAGAGATATTGTCATCCTCCGCCTTCCTCCTCATGCTCCTCCTTGTCGTGACTGCTCTTCCGCCCGCTAACCCAGACGACTTCGCGCGTTGATACTTGGAGTAAATTGACATCCTGGTGCGCCGAGCTGGCAGACACACGTACACACTTTTTGCCTCGGCGGTTAGGCAGAAAGACTGCGCTGGCGGAAAGAGCATATGTAGGACATACACATGCGAATCAAGCCGCGATGCGCGAGGGGAAGAGGAGGAAGGCCCGGCGCGTGCGGGAGGGAGACGGACACCGCCGGGCCCGCTCAGAGCGGGGCCAGGCGGCGGCGGGGGGGTGCGCCGTGGCCTGGGGCCAGCAGCTGCAGCGGGACAGCTGGGGGGGTAATTAGGCGGCCAGGGTGGTAGCCAGGGGCATACACACACACACACTCGCTTGAAAGCGTGTGGTGGCCTTGCATGCGTGGGCGTCCCACCCATCTCAAACTACCCCTTCTTCACCCATAAGGCCACCCTGCTGGTGACAAGGAGGCTCCTGGGTGGGTGGGGGCGATGGGTGCTGCTTTCGGTTTGCAAGTGGCGTCAGGTCGGAGTCGCGATATATCGAAATGTCTCGATATCTGTCGACCGAGCTCCCGGATTACAAATCTGACTATCTATCCACTGGCTCCAGGGTCAGCATACCAATCGCTCTGACACATTGTCGGTCTCATTCTCTATCTCTCTACAAGCTGATGTCACCATCGTGCTTGTACTTCACTGTGGTGTAATTGTACATCAAACCACGGGACACAGCAACATCCGACGGCGACGGAGACGAACAACGACCGACGACGACGAGCAACTGGCCAGAGGCGACGACGACGAACAACGACGAGGTCGCACGACGTGGACGTCGACGTGAAAGCGACGACGCACCGTGGCGGTGGCGGCTACGGCGAGAGCGACCGACGGCGACGACGCCCACGGGGGCCGACGGCAACGGCGGCGACCGGCGGCGGCTGATGCGGTTGGCCTGCGCCAGCCTCTGCACCGCGCCGCTGCGGCCGCACTCGAAGGTGCACCACCACGCCTGCGACGCCCTCGCCTTGGGGTCCGGGGGCGGCTTCCTCTCCCTCCTCCGCCAGATTCCTCCCCCTCCTGTTTTCTTAGGGGGGTCGTCCTCCTCCTCCTCCTCCTCCTCCTCCTCCTCCGCCTGCTCCTCCGCCTGCTCCTCGTCCTCCAGCTCCCGGGGGAGACAGAGAAAGCGAAGGGTGGAGGAGGAGGAAGAACGGCCTGGAAGGAGGAGGGAGAAGGAGGGAGGATTGTTCACTGTAGGCAACAACCTGCTAGGCTGGCGGGCGGACTAGAAGGCTGGCTGGACAAATGCGCAAGCTCTGAGGAGAGAGGTGAGGTCGGGCCGAAACGGCACGAACAAAAACCTCAGAGCCGAAAGGTGAAGCTATCCGTGAAGCCCTCGCGGCGCAGCGTGCCAGATCTATGGTGAAGAAGACACCATGTAAATCGAAGGCGAAGCGCCCGCGCTGGCAGACAGCATTGCCGCCACCTCCGCGTCCAGCGCGACGGGAGATAGCATGCCGTCCGTCAGCAGCTGCACCAGCTTCTCTGTCCGCTCCGCAGTCGCACCGAAGAGCTTTGATATATCCACAGGAGGCGGCGCAGCGCCCGCCGTTGCGACGGACATGGTCCTGCACTCGTCGGCCTGGTCAGCGGCCGCCTTCAGGAACAACCCCAGGCCCACGATCAGCACCTCCAACCGCCACCGAACCCAAATTGCCAGCTACATCACTGCAAAGAAAAACAGTGGCGTGTACGCCTTTAGCTCGAGCCACTCCGCCAGTAGCTTTCACCTCTAGCGTGTCATTGATCCTGCAATCATCGGCACCACGACGGACGCCTTCAGAAGACACCCCATCCAAACGCTAAGCCGCCATATGCTTTTCCAAGTGGTCAGTTCTTCTGGCGACGCTTGAGCCTGTTTTTCTCCTTGGCCTTCCCCCTCCCATCGTATCTCTGTAAGAGATCTCCGCTGTGCCTTGGGCGGAGGTGGCGGCAGCGGCAGGAAGACTACATTCGGGAACGTCATCGGCCTAAGCAGAGGAGGCGGCGGACGAGGTGTGCTCGGAATCGCCCGCGTCGCTGGCCGTGGAGCGGTGAGCACCTTCTGAGCTACATGCATGTACGGGTCGGCCACGCTGATCACTCCTGGCGGTGGAGGAGTAGGCGGACTCCGCTGTAAGCTGGTCGTGCACTTCGCGTGAACACGCTTGCCCTTTTCCTTGTCCTTCTCCCTCTTGAAACCGAACGAAGTCCTTCTCCCTGCGAGGCCTCACCCAGCACGAAGGCGGTAGCAGCTTGTCGTTTTTCTTGTTACTGTGATTATTATTGTTATTAATCGCCTTCTTCTTCTTTTTCTTTTTTAAGTGGGAGTCCGCGGACTTGTCCTTGTCATTGAAATTGTCCCTCTACCTGCGCGGCTCACACGGCCAGGCAGGGGTACTCGTAGAACATGGGAGGCGGCAGATGCATGACCACTAGCTTGTCCATCGCTCGGACGTCCATTCCCTGTGTTTTGTTCGGTTTCGTGCGTGGTCTTTTCGCAGGATGATCCAGGATGCTCCTTAAAAATCCCCGCCGAGAAAAAGTGCACACGTCGGAGCGATACCAAGTAGCTTGTCCGGCCTGGACTCTTCCCCCCCCACACACACCCCGGGCTCAGGTGGAGGCGAAGGCGGGCGCAGCATCTTGCGGATGCCCGCGGAGGTCCGCGCGAGGTCCGACTCCCGCCCCCTCTCCAATTGGAGTGCTCCCCGCTGATGACGACGATGTCGCCACCGAATGGCCAGAAAAGCGTTCAAAGAACTCGTCAGGCGCAAAGTCCTCTGGCATGGGGATGCGCATAAAACTGCAGCAGGGCGTTTAGGGCCAGAGAAGGGCGGCGACAAGCTCGGTCTTGACCGTCGTCAGCATCGACGGCCTTCAGGCCGCACAGAGCATCTGATCCATCGCCGAGCCGTCGCGCACGAGCCGGGGCGCCGCATGTCGGGGCCTGCTGCTCAAGCCAACGAGGCTTGAGAGAAGGAGGGAGGAGGGAGAATGGAGGAGGGGGGAGGAGTGAGGAGGGGGGAGGAGGGGGGAGGACAGGACAGGGCAGGGTGGAGGAGGGAGGATGAAGAAAGCTGCCTCTGGCGGTGCGGGCTCGCTTCTGCTGCGGTGTGTTGCGCTTCGCGCTGCTGGTGATGCTGCCAAAAAGGCTCACTCTAAACGTGCGGGCTCGCGGACGCCGCACACCGAATTGCCAAAGATGTCAACCGGAAACTCGCTTCGAGCGTGCCGTGTATGTTCTGATCTTCGCGTTGCAAGCGTTGTCCTGCAACGCGCCTGCCTGGTAACTCACGCCGAGCATGCCGTCTGACGACCGGCGCGGATCCTGCTGCCAGGGCAGCCGCCAGGAACCTCCCTCCGAGCGTGCGGGTTGGGAACGAGCTTCCTGCCCGAAATTCTGCCAATCTGATGCGCGGTGCCGCCAAGATTGCACGCTTGGACTTGGAACGAGCTTCCTGGCAGCAGCGCGGGCAACGCAATATGCACCTGGAACGAGTCCGCTCGCGCGCGAGGCTCACGGGAAGGGCGCTGGCCTAGGGAACCAAGACAGCCTGTTGACTATGACGTTTTGTTGGCAGGCCCGCGGCCTGGGAAGGGGCCCTGGGCACCCGAAAACTGCGAAACACCTCCAGGACCCCTGGCCTCCGGGCCATTTGTTCTCCATGCGCTCTTACTAAAAACACGCGTGTTGGAGGCAAACACGTCGTCGGAAGTCTGCGGAGGATCTGGCCGGCTCTGGACACTCTGACTCCCAACATGTCCACATCTCCGGGGGGGCACCTCTGATTCTGCTGGCGTTCCTTCCATCGGCGGGGCTACCCCCGACCGTCACTTCAGCCAATTTCTGCGGGCCTTCTGCAGTTTTGTGCCGAGGAAAAGGCCTGTCACCCCACACCCTTGACGATGTGAGTTGTCACCTTTCCGTCCTGGCTGTGCTGTCACTGGCCCTGGGCCCCGAAAACAACCACGCAGGATAAGGAAATACATGATATGTTGTTTTTCCTTGTGTTGCAAAAAAACAATTGGACGCGACGCCCAAAATGGGTACGGAAAAAATGGGCACAATGCCCAACAACAAATGATGCCCCAAGCCAACAGCGGCCGCTGTTGGGCAGGCGGCCTTCTGTTTCAAATGTACACAAGCCGCGGCGACACCGACAGCGAGTCCTGTTCAAAATGAATAAGAACCGCTATTGGGCATTGTGCCCATTCTTTCCGTGCCATTTCGCTCGTGCCGGAAATCAGGGTCCCCAGAAGTCTCGGCCTCTTCCTGGGGACTGGAATGTCATCCCGAGTCGTTTTTGTGTTGGCGGCCCCGAGGCCAGGCGAGGCCTCAAGAGGCAGACCCTGGCGGCAACAAAAACGTCCTCCCTTGCAATGCTGTGGAACTTGTGGGCATGTCGCTCCGAAGGGAGAACTCGGCTCTCCTTCAGGCTGGCGTGCTCGCTCATCAGCCACGATATCCTGGTCGCGAGCGTGTGCCTCTCGGGGGGGCCCAGAGCCAGAGGCACCACGCCCAGCCAAAAACTCGTCGTTCTCAACTCTGCTTCCTGATGGCTGACGTGCTTGTGGGTAAAGGAAGAAACCCGATTGAGGGGCCACAAATGCGGATGACCCCACGTTAAGCACCCGGGATTGCGACGGATTAAGATGGATCATGCTGGATTCGGCCGGATCTCGACCATGGATTGATCAGTATCGATGCTGCATTCGACCTCCCTGGAAGTGCATCCTAACTTCCTGATGGCTGACTCCTCCGTGCCGCTCGACTGAACGTGTCTCTAGGGTGGGCCGGGCGTTACGCCTGAGACTTTCTGGCCGCCAGCGGCCCTGCGAGTTCCAACGGTCAGACGGACGGAGGACGGGTGGGTCTTCTAAAAATCGAGCTCTCGCCGTGGCGCCGCACACACTCGTCTTACACGTTTCCAGCAGCTGCGCGGCAGGAGGACGGCTCGCTTCCCACATGCCGGCTCTTGCTATGGCGCCGCGCACGCTCGTCCGAAGCACTTCAAACCGCTGCGCGGATGGAGGGCGAATCGTCTTCGAAACTGTGCTCTCGCCTTGGCGACGCGCGTAGAAATAAAAGCCTCGCCTTGACACCACCCAGATCCGTCGTACCAGCTCCAGAAGTCCGTACTAGAACTGCTCGCGTTGTTACAACATGATTCATTCAGAATCGCAAACCACGATCGTTACCCTCAACCGTCAACCAGAAACTGCATTCAGTTCCTTTGTCTGGATTGCCCAGCTGTACAAGGTACATGTCAACCTGTTCAGTCAATGTCCTACGCATACATCACAACACGTGGTGCAATACATCGACCGCAAGTCACGTGCATTACCATGGACGCAAGAGGGCAGGCCCTTTGACGTGGAGCTGTCGCTGCGCATTTCCTTGAATGTGTATGACGCCTCGTTGTCGTATAGCTGCTAGTTCAACGTATTGAAAGCTATGTCTTTCCAAGCACATTTCCGGCTTAAGATGCGGCCCATGGGTCACTCATTCCTCACTTGGGGCGCTGCTCGCAGCGAACAAGAATTCAAGTGTCGAACCACTGTGGAAAGGGCTCAGGAAGGGAGGCTGCGTTGCAGCATTATTGGTTCTTGATGCAACTCGGGTTTACTCTGGCCCTCTTCCTCCTCCTCCTCCTCCTCCCACGGCTCCCTCCCCCTCGGCTCCCTTGCCCCCCCTCCTCCTCCTCCATTCCTGTGCCTTATAAATAAATCCTGCCTGTCGCACCTCGAGGCCGGTCGAAAGGGCGGGCCGGGCGTTTCGTCTGAGACTTCCTCACCATTAATGAACCCGGCACTTCAAAATTGACAAAAGATTCGAAAATGGAGGGCGGGTGGATTTCAAAATGTGGCTCTCCTCTTAGCTCCGCGCACACTTGTGTAAGCAAATCGCAAGAGCTTCACAGATTGAGGGCGGTTCCTTTTCAAAATGTGGCCCTCACCTCAGCGCCGCGCATATTCGTTGTAAACATTGCAAGCGTTTCACGGAGTGAGGGCGGTTCCCCTGAAATCTGTGGCTCTCGCCTTAGCGCCGCGCAAGACTGTCGATGAATATCATGGTCGACGTAGTAGAAGTGGTGTTTGGAACGATTCAGGAATGTCAGGGCGCAACACTTACGTTTATTCGCGGTGTTGAAGTCTCAGGAATGGTACTCTGACGCGATTCAGTATCGCCTAGACGTAACGGTCAGGTTAAAACTCGTGGCGCTGAAGTTCCGAGAATGGTGTTTTGGTGCGTTTCAGGATTGTCACACGGTTGTCCCCCCAACAAGAAAGTAAGTCAGAGAGAATTACTCCTGATATGGGCCCTATGAAATAGAAGCTTGAAGGGAGGATGTCCCCCAACATCGTTGATAAATCATGGGCTTACACTGGTCCTCATCCTCTCCTCCCCCTCCTCCCCCTCCTCTTCCTCTCCCCCTCCTCCCCTTCCTCCTCCTTCCCTCCCCTTCTTCCCCTCCTCCTTCTCCTCCTCCCGCGGCTCCAATCCCCCTCCTCCGCATCCTCGCCCCCCTCCCTCCCTCCCTTCTTCTCGTCCCCTCCTCCGTCACTGCCTCCTTTCCAATCGTCGTCGTCTTCAGCTTCCCCCTCCCTTGGGAAGGCTGCCTCCCGTTGGACTGGTAATCGCTTTGGAGGCGACGATCCTCTTACGGCGGTGACTGCAATCCAATGTTGGTTATGTTGTTCCTACTCGTTCGGAAACTCCTGGGGATTCGGAACGAATTGCAAGAAAAGCAGACAATATATTGGTTGGGGGGCAGGTCCCAGTCCCAGTGATACGCAGTGGCGATGGTCTTCCAACACCAGAAGGGTGGGACATTGTATACGCCTGCTCCCCCCAAACGCGAAGTAACAAATTGCAGTGCAATGCGAGGCAAACGAAAGTAAACCAATTCCAAGCCAAGCATCGCAAAACAAAACCAGTGAGCGACACTACTTCGGATTCCATAATAAAGTGAAGGGTCACATTTTGGGGGGGGGGTCCGATTTGAGCTGTCTTGGAGGGCTCGGGGGGGTCTGGGCAAAGTGCCGCCCTTTCATGGATGGTCTGGGGGGGTCTACAACTTGTGGTCTGGGAGGATTGTGACCCCCTCCCTTTTATTACGAAATCTGGAGTAAGCAATTCAGAGAAAAAACATGCAGCATAGGTTACACCGAAATAACGGATATGAAGCGCTGTGACGCAATGAGCTGCACCGCGCGTACTGCAAAACAGCACTAGAGGATAGAGCGCGTTGCTCCCCTTGTGTCCGACGTTGCCTTGTTATAAGGTTCACATACAGCTTCCTTGGTGTGGTGCCCCGAACATATTTGTTATATGCATACAACTTTGACCTTGAACTGCATTCGATCAGGAGGGAGCTCGGGATTGGGCGCACTGGGCACAACATTCCAAGCCCTCATGCCTCGACTCGTGCCCTATGCTCCCGGTCAGCCCGCAGAGGTAGTCCATCGACTCCTGCCATACCTTCGACATCTCGTCGGTTATCTTGGCGATGTCGTCGCAAAGGCTGGGCACGTTACGAGGCAACATCAACAACACTGACACGACGCAACCGACGATCGAAGTCCCGATCACCATTGATGTGCTCGAGTCGATATCGGGCAGAAGCGGAGCACCCGGAACTGGCCAATACCCCCAGGACACGCCAATGGACGGGTTCATGAACTCCATCATGAGATATACCCTCCGCCCCACGTAAGGGCCACCAGGCAGTGGGCAGTCTCGAAACATAGCGTGTAATATAATGGAAAGCCTGATGTCAAACCACACAAAATGTATGCGTGTATGTACATGTAGATCTGACAAACCACCGCATTTGGTTTGATGGCCCCTTGCACTATCGCCAGTGATTTTCCCGATCATCTGTCTCAAGATAGTCCGCATATGACCAAAGAGGGCATTCAGAGGCGGCCAGAGTGTCCCAAGAGGCCCCAAGGCTGACTAAAGATGTCCCAAGGGAGATCATCGTCTCAGGCCGCCAGAAGCAATACAGCAAATGGCTTCGTTCTTGTTCGAAGGCCTCAATCTACCAATGTGTTCGGCAACATGCATATCCAAGAACGCCGAGGGAGGGCACAAGAGGGGCCAGAAAACTCTCCAAACGTGGCCGCAAGACGGCCACAGTATTGCACAGAGATCCCCCAATGGGCGCCCTGCTAAGATCAAGATGTCAAAACATGTCCAAACTTACTAGCATCGGCATCTAGAACTGCCGAATGTGCCCCCCTGACGGCCCAAGATGCCTCCAAGAAATGCCGTATTGCAGACCCCCCAAAACAGCCCACAAAACCGACGACAACCCGACGTACTTCCCAAAACGGCCTCGGTGGGTCCCAAAACCCTCGTCAACACCCGAGAGGTTCACAAAAACGGAACACCGTTCCCCAGACATTCCCCTTCGCAAGCCTAGTCGAGCTGCCTCAGTAGGCCCACTCCGAAACTGCACACGAGGGATTGAAGATGCCTCCTGGACGGGAAAAGATGTCACCCGAATTGTTGAATAAGCTTCTACGAAACCCTGCGACAAATCTCCAAATAACATATAGTTTGCCTCCGCAAGAGATGGGGGGGGCGATCCACATACCAGTAGATCGACGATAAGCTGCCCAACAGGTAGCATCAGATGTGCTCAAAAGAAAACAAGGGAGTGGCGGTGGCAGACCAGACGCTACTTGGACATGCCAAGATATTCCGAACTTTATAATATTGTCATTCGCCTTGGACGCGAGGAACAAAATGATGATAAACAACACGTCGAGCAAACACACTAGTTCATTGTATGGTACTGCGTGCGGAACTTTGCAAACCAGTGCTTTGACACGTTCCTCTGTACAGAAGGGGCCTTGTCCACCTTCAGGGTAAACCAGAGCCATCAACATACGATTAATGGCTGCAATTGTAATTCCAGCAAGGCCTTGCCAAGCTAACTGGACAGTGGTGCTCAGGTCCAAAAAGACAGTAAATATTATCATCTGGCCGATGTTCGTCCAATAACCAATGTATTGGTGTGGTACCATGCCGCACCAAATCTTTGTATCGTCCAAATCCACGCAACCGTTCAAATATGCATCCGCAGTCGAGCAGTTGTGCATCACCGTCGCCTCGGCAAGAGGTATCTCAGCACCACTTGGGTCGATCACGTGCCACCGTATTCGCTCCCACCCCAAGCTGTTGAGAGGGCAAGTGACAAGTGGCCACTCAGCGGATTGGTTCACTGTGACGTCCACCCAACAATCGTCGCGACGTCCACTCACCGTGCGGTTACAATCCATGACGGTGTCTGCGATTGATGTGTCATTGTCATTCTCGCCATATGCACGTTCGTACATGGTCGCGAAAGATGTCGTATCGGACTCAGCCTTTCCAAATATCCGACACCGCGCTCGCAGCGGTACGCAGGCGCCCTGCCGACCTGTGCTCTTTCCTGGTCCAAGCGGCCCAAAGCAAAACAACAGCAAGGGCCATTCAATCAACCAATGCCAAGTGCGAACAGACACGCGCGGTTTGCACCGGGTACGACGGCGCCGAGGCAAGGACATGCCCAGCGGCACTTGACGGCATCAGAGGCAAGGAAGTCCCCAGCGGCGCAAGTCGAAATCGGGGCCAGGGGCACCTGGGGACAACCCTGGACCAAGGACAACCCCGAAGACGCAAGACCGCATCAATACCAGTGACACTTGGGATCAGCACTGGACTTTGGAAACTGCAGGTGGTGCAGCTGATGTTTCACACCCCAAACGGCCCCTGGCAGCGCAAGCCCAAACAGCCGGCGTCTTCATTCCCCAAACAATGCTTGCGCTTAGGGGCACTGACTTCCATCACCTACGGAATTGGACTGGGGTGCCGAGCATTCGCCACGTTGCCCGTGGCCGCCTGGTGGGCGCCTCGTGCCGAGGTTTCGCCGCGTTACCGCCCGTGGCCGCCGCGTGTGCCGGATTTGAGCAGGGACCGACCGCCCTGGCATTCCTATAGTCCTACCACGACATGTTCTTAGAACCCAACACTGTTCCAATAACAGAAGCAATGTTCTTAGAACGTGAGCCCGATGTGTTAAGACAAGACGGTCCCAACCAGAAATGTTCTAAGAACCTGTCGTGCAAACCAGCCGAAAGGTTTTAAGAACATTGTTTGGTAGGGATGAAAAAAAAAAAAAACGACCCGACCCTGGGTTATCAGTGCGTGGCCTGTAAACCTCCTGGGACCCCCCAAAGCCTCGAGAGCCGCCAGGACGCCGCACATCACGCTGGGTTTACCCTGTCAGCCCACAGGAGTTTCAGCGCACAGCGCCTCGTAAACCAGGGTTGGGGCGCTGCTTTGTGCCCGACGTGCTCAAACAAGACGTTCCCAGCCAGAAATGTTCTAAGAACGTTTCGTGCAAACCAGCAAAGAGGTTCTGAGAACACTGTTTGTTGGTAGTCCCCAAACGTGGTGGTGACAACACCTGGCGGTGAGTCTCGGGCGATTTGGTGTCACCACCCCGTTTGGGGACTCGTGCGGTTTTCCGAGGATGTCCCGGACAGGAGTTACGAAGCGCGGTGGTGACCCCGCGTCCCCAAACCCAGCGGTGACCTTTTTGGGGATTCCAGGTCGCCACCTGGTATCTCACCACCCGGTTTGGGGGTTCCCAAGTTTGGTAGGCCTATCAGCGAGCCGGGACGCTTCGCCACTGCTTGCCGGGTGGGTGCGCCGAGGCTCCGCCGCGCTGCCGCGGGTGGCCGCCGCCGGGCGCCTCGTGGCCGCCCCCCGCGTGCTGGAGGGGCGTGCCGCGGTGTCGCCGCGCTGCCCACCGCGGGCGCCCTGCGAGTCAGCCCTGCCCCCTCCCCGCTCTCTCTTCCGTGCAAAAAAATATGGACCTCAAACGACTTTGTTGGATTTCGAGGGCATCATTTTCAACCGAGGCCCCTTCCTCAAAACTTCCGTCGAGATTTCCCGAGCCAGCCAGGTTTCGCCACGCTGCCGCGGGTGGCCGCCGCCGGGCGCCTCGTGGCCGCCCCCCGTGTGCTGGAGGGGCGTGCCGCGGCGCTGCCCACCGTGGGCGCCCTGCGAGCTGGCCCTGCCCTGGACTACCTACCAGAGGAGGAGGAGGAGGAGGAGGAGAAGGAGGAGGAGGAGGAGGAGGAGGAAGAGGAACCCGAGGACCCGAACTTGACCCGAATTTCGGGTCTGGGGGGGGTACGGGTTCCATGTGCTTTCTCACTGTTCCCCGACCACCCCCCCCCACTAGAAGTGGAGGGCAAGTCGAGGCCTTCGGGTTGGGCTGGGTTGGTTTGGTGGGTGGTGAGCCCTCTCCATCCGCTTTCTCTTCCGTGCGCCAGCGAGGACGCACGGCGCGATTGGCACCAAGCGGCAGTGGAACCAGTGCTCCACCGTGCAAGCGGCACCACGCGGCAGTGCCACGGGGGCGGGCGGGCGGGTCAAGCGGTCCCCTCTGTCACCCCAAATTGCTGCGGGATGCCAGGTAGAAGCACGAGAGAGAACTAGGGGAGAGAATCTAGCGGGGGGGGACCGCGGAGCTAACTTGGTTTCGTCTGCGCGAAACAGCGATCGCCCGCTCCCCTTCCCGCTTGTTGGTGTTAAGGTTCGCTTGCGCCACCTAGTTCACACCACACAGATGTCGCCACAAAGCTTGCGCCAAAGGAACTTGCACTGCGCAGCTTGCACGACATAGCTCAAACCAGGAAGGTCGGAAACATTGTAGGTCCACAGTGGCAAGCATTTTGCAATGCAGGGTCCTCGAAATCAAACCACTTCCTCGGGCCATGTTTGTTGAATCCCGAGTCGTTTGTTGTCGTCCCAGGGGAAGCAGAAGGCCCCAGTCGGACAAGAACGACAAACACCGCTCCGCCTTGTTTGTTCAAGAAGTTTGAGGACACATCGACTTTAGATCATCTGGCTGACCACCATCAGCCTGTCCAGTGACTCTCCGCTCCCTGGCGGCCTCCCTGGGCTTCAGAGAGGTCCCTGGGCGGGCCCAAGGAGGTCCTGACACTGGTCCAGAGAAACACTGAAGCGATCCCAGAAAGCTCCAGGCCCTGCAGAAAAAAAAGACGCCCACACGACCCCGACCGCCCCATACACAGAGCCCCCATACCCTCCAAGACTGCCTCGAGACCGCTCGATGTGCGCGGATATCGTTGCGCCCTCGCGCCGCCGCCTCCTTGGAGAAGGGCTGCTGTTTGAGCCAAACAGCGACGCTCGAAGAACGAGCATCTTCGCATCCCCCTGCGAGCGAAACAAAGTCCACCAGTATTAGGTCCTAGGTGGCTGCTCCTGGGAAATACACGTAGGCACCTTTGAGAAATACTACACCAGATGAAAGAGCTGTCAAGCCAGAGGAAGCCACCACTGTTTAAGCCAGGGACCAGCTTAAGCCAGAATGAAGCGGGGTTCAGGCGAAACATGCTCGATGGACGCGTATGCCAAATAACGATACAGAAAGACCAATACTGCAATAAGTATCCGAAGGCTTGCAACCTAACCCATCCCATGTAAATTTGCGTCTCGACGGCGTCGGCGTCGATTTCTGACACCGCGTGGGTCGTTGCACGCTAGTCAAATGCGGCCTTCGACATCGGCCGATTCTGGGCCGCTGGCGGCGTTCATCCATGAACGCCCGAGCTGGAGTCACCGCCGCGTTGAGGCGTGGGAGCCGCACATAGACTGAAACCTGC